TGGAAACAGCTGTTTGAAGAAGCAGTAAGTGAAGTGGTTGCAGACGAACTGGATCCAAGGGGCTGTATACAGATGCAGTTGGGTGGTAACAAGATGCTGATTAGTGACCAGTTATTGATGGCAAAGCCTTTTGCTGCCAATAACCATGCAATTGGTTCTCAGGTAAGTGGACATCTTGGGCTGGGCATAAGGTAGAGAGAAGTAATTTGATCTCCACCAGCACAGGAGCTGTCTGTCTGTTGTTTACAGTTAAAACCCTTCTTTTATTTATTCATTTTCTGGGATGTGGGAGTTGCTGGCTGAGCCAGTATTTATTACCCATCCCTAGTTGCCCCTTGAGAAGGTGGGGGTGAGCTACATTCTTGGACCGTGGCAGTCCACCTGCTGTGGGTTGACCCACAACACCCCTTAGGGAGGGAATTCCAGGGTTTTGATGCAGCAACACTGAAGGAACGGGGGATCTTGAAGGTGGTGGTGTTCCCATGTATCTGATGCCCTTGTCCTTCTCGATGGAAGTGGTCGTGGGTTTGGAAGGTGCTGTCTGAGGATCTTTGGTGAATTTCTGCAGTGCATCTTGTAGATGGTACACACTGCTGCTACTGAGCGTCGGTGATGGAGGGAGTGGGATGTTTGTGGATGTGGTGCCAATCAAGCGGCTGCTTTGTCCTGGATGGTGTCAAGCTTCCTGAGTGTTGTTGGGGCTGCACTCATCCAGGCAAGTGGGAAGTATTCCATCACACTCCTGACTTGTGCCTTGTAGATGGTGGACGGGCTTTGGGGAGTCAGGAAGTGAGTTACTCGCCACAGTATTCCCAGCCTCTGACCTGGTCTCGCCATTGCATTTATGTGGTGAGTCCAGTTGAGTTTCAATAACTCCCAAGATGTCGATAGGAGGGGATCCATATTTGAACCAAGCCTGTAATGAGGTCGGGAGCTGAGTGGCCCTGGCAGAACGCAGTTATTGGGTCAAGACTCTTCTTCAGAAACGTCCCAACCCGAAACGTCAGCTTTCCTGCTCCTGTGATGCTGCCTGACCTGCTGTGTTCCTCCAGCTCCACACTGTGTTATCTCTGACTCCAGCATCTGCAGTTCTTACTATCTCCTACTTGGGCAATTTTCCACATTGTCGGGTAGATGCCAGTGTTGTAACTGTACTGGAACAGCTTGGCTAGGGTAGCTGCAAGTTCTGGAGCACATAATTAAACCTGAAGAAAACCTGTTTGTCTTTCCTTCAGCAGTTGTCGGAAGCTGTGACCTTTAACTTTCAGTCAGGGACCTCAGAACTGAAGGAGGGTTACTGGACCTAAAACGTTCGCTGTTTCTCTGTCCACAGATGGTGCCAGACCTGCTGAGTTTCTCCAGCAATTTCTGTTTTGACTTCGGCAGCTCAGCACCCCCTTCTCACAGGGGACTGGGAATGAACAGTAAACACTTGCCCAGGCAGTGATGCCTACATCTTATAAAGAACCAACAAAATTGTCAAAGAAGACTAGACTGGGGACTGTACAGGTAATGGTGTAGGTGTGGCAAGGGAAGACACTGGAAATGCCACTGGAATGTTCAATGGTGTTAATAAGATGTGGAACAGAGGCAAAATGTGGAAGGAGTGAAGCCATCATGTTGACCTCCTGTCTGTCCACACCTGGAATCCACTGATTGCACAAAGAGTGGAAAGTGGTACAAGAAAATGATCAAGAAGCTGCTCTCTTGAGTCAGGAGGATACAATTGGATTTTCAATCTTTGTGGCAGCCTCTCTCTCTGTCCTCATGCCTTCACCCTCCCATGCTTCACACTCTGTCTGTTTCCTGTCTCGCCTGGTATCTACCTCTCCATCTCCCTCTGCAAACCTGGATCCTGTTAGACCCATCAGCAAAATTTATGCCTAAATTATATTACAGTGAAGAATGCAACAATAAATTAGTTCATTTAAAAACGCAGCGGATCTGGCAAAGGCTGGGAGAGAATGGCAGAATCATTACACTCTACTTTCAGTGTTATTGCAGCATGAAACCATCGATCATGGGACACCCATTGCCCTGGCTCATACAGTTTGAGCTCAGACTTAGACAGGCTCTGGCACCAGAGCGGCCTGGCCTCCTGCCTACTTTATCCTCCTTCCAGTGTAACACCATCCATTCGAGAGGAACTGTGGGAGGGGACAGCTGCTCCAACATCCAGAATCTCTCCACTTTGATTAGCTGTCATGAAAATCCATTCTCTAGTCAAACAGACTATTTTCATTATTTAATAAAATTCACAACAGATTATAGACTTAGAGGCACTTTGAGAGGTCTGGGAAGCATTGCCATAAATTAACAAAGAGATAAATTAGTTAATGTAAAACTGCGGCTTTGCCTCAAAGACAGACTGTTGTCTTGACCTACATGTTCCAAAAGCATCTTCCTTTTCTCTTTCCTCTGTGTCTCCTGATTAAACTGACCCTCACTGGGATACTGGATCCCCCTCCCCTCCTGAAGGTGCTGACTCTCACTGGGATACAAGGTCCCCCTCCTGAAGGTGCTGACTCTCACTGGGGTACAGGGTCCCCCTCCTCTCCTGAAGGTGCTGACTCTCACTGGGATACAGGGTCCCCCTCCTCTCCTGAAGGTGCTGACTCTCACTGGGGTACAGGGTCCCCCTCCTGAAGGTGCTGACTCTCACTGGGGTACAGGGTCCCCCTCCTCTCCTGAAGGTGCTGACTCTCACTGGGGTACAGGGTCCCCCTCCTGAAGGTGCTGACTCTCACTGGGGTACAGGGTCCCCCTCCTCTCCTGAAGGTGCTGACTCTCACTGGGGTACAGGGTCCCCCTCCCCTCCTGAAGGTGCTGACTCTCACTGGGGTACAGGGTCCCCCTCCCCTCCTGAAGGTGCTGACTCTCACTGGGGTACAGGGTCCCCCTCCTGAAGGTGCTGACTCTCACTGGGGTACAGGGTCCCCCTCCTCTCCTGAAGGTGCTGACTCTCACTGGGGTACAGGGTCCCCCTCCTGAAGGTGCTGACTCTCACTGGGGTACAGGTCCCCTCCTCTCCTGAAGGTGCTGACTCTCACTGGGGTACAGGGTCCCCCTCCTCTCCTGAAGGTGCTGACTATCACTGGGGTATGGGTCTCACTCCTCTCCTTAAGGTGCTGGCTCTCACTGGGGTACAGGGTCCCTCTCCTGAAGGTGCTGACTCTCACTGGGATACAGGGTCTCCCTCCTCTCCTGAAGGTGCTGACTCTCACTGGGATACAGGGTCCCTCTCCTGAAGGTGCTGACTCTCACTGGGGTACAGGGTCCCCCTCCTGAAGGTGCTGACTCTCACTGGGGTACAGGGTCCCTCTCCTGAAGGTGCTGACTCTCACTGGGGTACAGGGTCCTTCTCCTGAAGGTGCTGACTCTCACTGGCGTACAGGGTCCCCCTCCTCTCCTGAAGGTGCTGACTCTCACTGAGGTACAGGGTCCCCCTCCTCTCCTGAAGGTGCTGACTCTCACTGGGGTACAGGGTCCCCCTCCCCTCCTGAAGGTGCTGACTCTCACTGGGGTACAGGGTCCCCCTCCCCTCCTGAAGGTGCTGACTCTCACTGGGGTACAGGGTCCCCCTCCTCTCCTGAAGGTGCTGACTCTCACTGGGGTACGGGGTCCCCCTCCTCTCCTGAAGGTGCTGACTCTCACTGGGGTACAGGTCCCCTCCTCTCCTGAAGGTGCTGACTCTCACTGGGGTACAGGGTCCCCCTCCTGAAGGTGCTGACTCTCACTGGGGTACAGGGTCCCCCTCCTCTCCTGAAGGTGCTGACTCTCACTGGGGTACGGGGTCCCCCTCCTGAGGGTGCTGACTTTAGGGAGCGTAGTGTAGGTAATATTTAAGCCGTGATAGTTGTGAAAAATCACAATGAACTTCACTGTTTATTCAACAGTTACCTTCTAGTTAGATCAGAGTGATGGTTATCCTCATTCATACTGGACTCCTTCAGGTAGATAAAACAAACACCCACTGTTCTCATGAGGATAAGCCTGCAGTATTCTAAAACCTCCAACAGTGAAATGAGCCTTCGCCTGGGGTGAGCCTAGAGAATTAGTGCCATAAGGCAGGCACTAAGAACAAAGTTCCAGTCAAGCCTGATGGGCTGAATGGTCTCTACTACTTTAAGCTTCAATGGTCCAGGGTCAGAGGGGCATGAGGCAGCAGACAACTGAAAGATCCTGGGAAACTGTTGCCATTCTACTCTGTCAGCACTGGGCTAAAGATTCTCACAAGCAAATGCTCCTAAATCCCATTTGCACCAATCTGTTAACCACTCATCAGTGAACCCCAGATATAACGAGCTCTCTCCTTTAGATAGTCATGGTTTACAAACGAGGTCAAGGCTGCCGTTTCCAGTGCAGCGCTGAGGGAGTGCCACACTGTCGGAGGGTCAGTGCTGAGGGAGTGCCGCACTGTCGGAGGGTCAGTGCTGAGGGAGTGGGCACTGTCGGAGGGTCAGTGCTGAGGGAGTGCCGCACTGTCGGAGGGTCAGTGGTGAGGGAGCGCCGCACTGTCGGAGGGTCAGAATTGAGGGAGCGCCGCACTGAGGGAGCGCCGCACTGAGGGAACGCCGCACTGAGGGAGCGCCGCACTGTTGGGAGGGTCAGCGGTGAGGGAGCGCTGCACTGAGGGAACGCTGCACTGAGGGAGCACCGCACTGTTGGGACGGTCAGCACTGAGGGAGTGAGCACTATTTTAGGTATCACTAAAGTGAGCACTCATTTCTACCAATCAGATTGATGAAAAATGTAGTACGACGTCTATTGAAATAAAGCAGGGGAATCACCATTCAGTGTCTCATTGAATAGATTTCCTTTAACCAACTGCAGTAAAACAGATCACCTCGTTATCATCACATTGCTGTTTGAGCGAACTTGCTGCGTGTAAAATGGGTGCATTACAACAGCAACTACACTTCACAGGACAGAGTTCCTGAACTGGTGAAATGTACAATAAGATCAAAGATTTTTTTTCCTTATCAATGAGTCAGTGGAGATTAAAGTCCCAAATTTATTTCCATTGAATACAAATAGAAGCTGCTGTTTGATGCAGGAACCTGATTGTGTCAGTGTATCACCTCATGATCAGAAATTAATTCAATAAACACACAGCTTAAACATCCTGGCAATCCTGTTCATTTCACAGGACCCTCCCACCCCGACTAAAAATCACAGTCTACTGTACAATATAGAAATAGCTCTCACTCTCAATAATATATTCCAGATTGTAAAGTTCCCTGAAGCTGTTCTACAGTTTTCATAATTGACAAAACATCCCAGAAAGGGTTACATTTATACATCATGCAGTAGGGAAATAGGATTGTGAATCCCACACGTTGTAATACAAATATATTTACATTGCTTAGTTCCAAAATATTCACTTCCCAAATTCAAATTGACCAGTGTTGGCTGGATATTAAAATCAAGACTTAACCAGATCCCTGCTTCATAATCGAGGAAGTCCCAGCCTGGGAAAGGGTGGGGTACCAGGGGGTGGAGGTTAAAAGTGGAAGGGCAGGGAGAGAGAATGAATGAGAATTGGCGTACAGAAAGAGTGAGAAGGAGGGGGATTTTATAGAGAGGGAGGGAGACCTGGGGTGGATGGGACACAAAGCGGGAATAGGGGAGAGTGTGGATGCAGGGGAGGGGGTGAGAGAGTGTGTGGGCCATGTGCAAAAGGGACTCAGAAAGGGAGTGCCTGGAGTCCTGAGCCACATCTCGGGTAAGATCCTGTGGAGCTGGCTGGGGATAACTGCAGGCAATGCAGTGGGAGTGGTGTGGGGGTAAGGATCTCCCACCCACGGGTGGTCAGTGACCTCGGCTCTGTTCACAGGCAGCAGGGCCACTAAAATGAAAAGAAAAAGCCGACCCACAGAAAGGAGAGGTTTGTGACAGTCTTGATAAAAGTAGCCATTCGGAAAACATGCACAACTGGAGATTCCGACACTTTGCAGAGAATGTTATTATCATAGAGACTGAAACCGATGACTATGGCTTGGGTGGGGTGGGGTCAGGGGTTAAGGCGGTCAGGCTGGGACAGAGGGTGTTGAGGGGGCAGTGGAAGCCATGGAGGGTCATGTTGGTGGTGGGCCATTGGTGTATCGCAGCATTGGATACAGGGAGCGTGCAAAGTTGTTTGCCAAGGCACAGTTGTAGTCCTCCTGGGTGAAAGGAACAAGGCAGGCCAGGAGTAACAGCAGGAGGATGAGGAGCTGTAGGGGAATGGCCACCCGGAAAACCCTGGACAGAAAGGATCGAGCTTTTGAGACACCCTTCGCCTGGGTCACAACCTCTCCATCAAACCTGAGGAGGCAAGAAACAAAAGCAAAAACAAAGCACAAGTTAGTTCACAAAACCCTTTCTTTACCTTTCAGAATGTTCTATTCTGACCCAGGAAAATATTTCTCCAGTCTGCCCACATTAATCATCCTATAGTCTTAACAGGTCACTGTGTGAAAACACGGTCAAAAAAAAATCCTCAGGGCGACCCAAGACAGAGATCATCAATCAGACACTCCCTCCATCACCGACACTCAGTAGCAGCAGTGTGTACCATCTGCAGAAATTCACCAAAGATCCTCAGACTGCACCTTCCAAACCCACAACCACTTCCATCTAGAAGGACAAGGGCAGCAGATACATGGGAACACCACCCCCTGCAAGTTCCCCTCCAAGCCACTCACCATCCTGACTTGGAAATATATCGCCGTTCTTTCACTGTCACTGGGTCAAAATCCTGGAATTCCCTCCCTAAGGAAATTATGGGTCAACCTACAGCAAATGGACTGCAGCGGTTCAAGAAGGCAGCTCACCCCCACCTTTTCAAGGGGCAACTAGGGATGGGCAATAAATGCTGGCCCAGGCAGAGATGCCCATGGATGTGGGAGAGGGATGCCAAAGGTAAGATTAACCCTTCAAATCTCAGCAAACAGGCTGCTCAGCGGCCTGTCCCCAGATTGCAGATTGGATCAGTTGATGAGACGGGACAATGTTGTCTGAATTTGTACCTTAAGACGATGACCCTCCCCCTGTATTTTCCTCCTTCTGCCTCTCTCCTTCAGTGCGGTCCAATTTTAAACCGCATTTTACTGGCCTCTTCGGGGAAAACTGAAACAGCAGCAGGGGTCCTGACCTCCAGTGGTACCATGAATCCTGGCTCCACATGGTCCCCTGAACCATGCTCCCTCACCACCCCCATCCACCACCCACCCACCTCCCATGACCCCCCCACCCAGGGCCAACACATTTTACCGCTTTGTTGATGAAGGAACGACTGCTCTATCCATTCGGACCTCTCTCCGATCCTGTAACAAACCAAATAAAAACATTGATAACTCACAACAGAATCGCCTGGTGACGAACTCTACCCCCAGGAGGAGTCTGGCCACAAGTGTAAAGTATTGACTGGGCCCGGACTCGACCCTTTGCTTCAACCTGATCGTAGCTATTGCTGAGCAAAGCCAGCCTGACACAACCGAACCAAAAAACATGGCTCTTGCTGTTAGGCATGGAATACTCTGGCTGGAGCTTGCCAGAATACTCATTATTCCCACCTCCCACTGGCACAGCCACAAAAACAAATCCAAGATGGAATTGAGGAAAAACATCACCGTTCCACAAATAAGTTGGAGAACAAATGGACAAGACAAGCCAGTTCCCAGCTTTCTAAAACTCAGAATTAGAATGTAAAGGATTGAGAATTTAATCTAACAACAGCCAGTGTATGAAGGCGAACACACTATAGTCCACTTGACCTTTTATTATATTCTCCAAATTAAGGAGATCTGCATCTGTAATGAACTGTAATTATGCTGAAAAGGTCATAATTTTGAATACTTTAGTTTTACTGTAATGGTTGTCTATAACGGTCAGGAGTTATAGTAATGTGATTGGTTTGTAATATTGTCACTGTCTCCATGAGTTTTCAATGCACTAACTACAGAGTAAACATGGGTAAAACTTCAGTTGCTGGCGTTAATATTTTAGTCAAATAATTGGAGGTCGATTTTGTACGAGGTACATTTTGGAGGTTAGAATCTGAATGCAGAGATGCCAGGGCAGAAATTTAGGTCCAATGTTTCTGAACCAGAGGAGGGTAAAGGAGCCGTAGGTCTGCGTGTAGACATGAGGAGCTGAACAGCTCCTCCACAGACATTTCATTAAGGGGTGGCCAACAAACACCAGCTAGGAAAGGACAGACACACCCTGTACATCAAAATGGTAGGTCCCTGGGAAACACCGAGGATCAGTGCACATACACCAGTTCCTAAAAGTAACAGGACAGGTGGTTAAGGAAGCATATGGGATACTTGCCCTTATTGGCCAGGGCATAGAATTTAAGAGTAGAAACATTTAAAAAAAAAAATGTTATCTAAGTTGTGAAAGATCACAGAGCTCCAAGATGCAGAGGGATCTAGGTGTTCTGGTGCAGAAATTACTAAACATTAGTAAGCAGATGCAGCAAGTAATTAGGAAGGCTAACTGCAATGTTCTTGTTAATTACCAAGGGAATTAAGCACCAAAATCAGAAATTATGTTTCATCTATATAGAGCAATGATGAGATCACATCTGGAGTACTACGCACAGTGTTGGACTTCTTTCACGATCTTATTGAATGGTACAGCAGGCTTGAAGGGCTGAGTGGCCTGTTCTTATTCCTTGTTAGTATGTATGTAAACACTGTAGTTATTGATTCAAGTTACTCCCACTTTGTCGCCTGCTGCGATGGGGGACACTGTTTTGCATCCCCAGAAGGACCCATTGTGTGGCCCAGGGCTCGATGCATTCTAGAATCTCACTTCAGTGATCTGAGACTGAGGCACAGCTCAGTGAGATTTAAAGCACTCCACTACAACACACATGATCTGGGGAGGTGATGGCCTAGTGATATTATCGCTGGACTGTTAATCCAGAGACCCAGAAAATGTTCTGGGGACCTGGGTTTGAATCCTGCCATGGCAGATGGTGGAATTTGAATTCAATAAAATATCTGGAATTAAGAATCTAATGATGACCATGAATCCATTATCGATTGTTGGAAAAACCCACCTGGTTCACTAATGCCCTTTAGGGAAGGAAACTGCCACCCTTACCTGGTCTGGCCTACATGTAACCCCAGACCCACAGCAATGTGGTTGACTCTTAGCTGCCCTCTGGGCAATTAGGAATGGGCAATAAATGCTGCCTGGCCTGGCCAGCGATGCCCTCATCTTGTGAATGAATAAAGAATCTGCTGTGTCTTCCATCTTGAAGAGACTGTCTTATTTTAGAAGTTCTGAGAATGTAGTAAAAGTTCATTTTTAAGGATAGAATTGTAAAGGGAAAGTTTACTAAACTAGTGCCTCAAATGGGTGAGTTGGTTATGAAGAAAGCTTGAACTGGCTAGGCTTGTAGCTGCTGGAGTTCAGCAGACTAAGATGTGACTCAAAGATGTTTATTTGAAAGGCTGTACAGGAGCAGAGAATATGTATATGTGCAGAAATCATTAAATTGGCAGGACAGGTACGGAGAGCTGTTAATAAAGCTTACAGTATTCTAAGGTTCATTCAGTAGGCATAGAGTACAACAGCAAGGAGGTTATGCTGAACCCATCTCGGAGACTGGTTAGACCTCAGCTGGAGCTGTGGGCACCACGCCTTAGGAAGTATAAAAACGTACTGGAGAGAGAATGATCCTAGCGATGAGAAACTTCAGCTCTGAGGATAGATTGAAGTAGATTGAGAGGAGGAGACGGAGGGAAGAGTTGATTTGAGAGCTGTCTGACATAGTAGGCAAGAAAAGCATGTTAGAAAGGGAAACCAAAAGAACTGCGGATGCTATAAATCAGCTACAAAAACAGAAGTTGCTG